AACTTTAGTTTAAGTCTTTATAAAAGGCAAGAGATTGAAAGTGTAAAATTCAATTCTCTGGTTAAAATAGAAAGATTAAAAGAATAATCAATAACATATCTCTATTTAATCTTGAATGAAACAATAGATATGAGTTTATAGAGACTAGAAAACAATTTTTAGAGGTTAGTAGAATATATAAGGGTATTGTTTCGATTGGCGCTTCATGATCAGATTGGCGCCCTAAATTTTATATTATAAAAATTCTAATAAAATTTTTTAATAAAATTTTTAAAATATATAACCCTTATGATTTATGAAACATTGCTGTAGATTTTTGGGGAGGAAGAATCTTTTTTGACCTTCCTGGAGGAAAGTGGCTACCTAAAATTCATGGTGGAAAGGTTTGTAAGTTTTGCGGCAGCAACAGACTTTCTGTAAGGTCAAGAAAGAGAGTCGACTAGGTGCACTTCTTTCTCCGATGCAAGTCGTGTCGAAGAGAATATATGCTCTTCGAAAATACCTTTTTTGTTATGAAGAAGGGAGAACACGACTTTCTACACCTGTCCAATCATTGATAAAGCTGATCTTCCTATATTTTGAGGGTAGGGCGGTAAAATACATCATGTCTGTAACTAAATTAAAGGAAAAGAAGCCGTTATCAATTGGATAAACTTTGTAAGGTTGGAAACCCGTGATTATATCATGAGTGGAAAACTAGGAGGAGAAGGCAAAGTTGTACAAATCGACGAATCTCTGTTTAGAGGTCGTCGAAAGTACAACCGTAACAGATTGCTTCTTGATGATTTTATGGAGAGTCTTGATGATGCTCGCTGTAAAAATAATTATGGTGAACGTGTTAATGGACCATGGGTTTTTAGCATGGCTGAAGAGGGATCCAGGAAGGTCAAAATGTTTGTTGTGGAAAAGAGAGATCGTGATTCTCTGCCACCTCTCCTACTTGAACACGTGGATAAGAATAGTATTATCCACGGTGATGGTTGTAAAGCTTATTCCGGACTAAGTACTATGTTTGACGACCATAAGGTCGTTAATTATTCAGAAAATTTTGTTGACCCCAATACTCGTTGCCATATTCAATTAATTGAGTGTATTTGGGGTCAAGCAAAATTGAAGATAATAAAGAATAAGAGGGGAACTACCCTTACAATGTTACAAAGCCATTTGAGCTTTTTCTGTTTCTATTATCATTTTAATGAAGAATCTTTTAAAAATTTTTTAAAAACAATAGGAAACAATAGTTAATAAACTTTTTTATTATTTTTTTATTTATTCAACAACCCCTACTCCTAAAGGGTAAGAGTTGTTAAATAAATGTTTTTAATATTTTAAATTTTACTTAAAAAAATTATATATATATAATTTTGGGCGCCAATCCGATCATGGGGCGCCAATTGAAACGGTATCGTGGTATGTAGAAACCTGATAGAATTCTTTTATATGAAATGTGTATTTAAAATTATACAAAGTGTGGAACATGTCTTCAAGATATAAAAACGTAATCTTACATTAGAAATACTAATAGTGTGGCGCTCAGGTGTTGTAATAATTTTAATATGTATCTTTAAATATGCACCAATTTACTACTATCAGGTTTTAGTGTACCATTGAGAAGCATATTATTAATAGCTTGTAAATATTTTAATAACCATACTGATGCATATATAGATATTGTGATAAATATTGAGAAAAGATCAAGAATTAAAATTATAGATTTTCTCCTGATTTATGTCTTAAATTTGAGATTTAAAATCCAATTTGCCTTAGTAAGAATGGTATAAATGTTCAATTAGAAATAATTTTTATTAGACATGAACAGAAATACCATCAAGTCAGATAATTAATAAAAGAGATTTAGATATTTAGACTAGTTAATTGTTTATTTACTCTAGTAAAAATTTAATTACATGTTATTTCTAACACGACAGCCAACACTCTACTATCAATAATAGAATAAATTTTTGAGCTAGAAACAGTAATCCACAGTGATTAGTGGAGGATATATTTAAGTATAAGTATTAGGTTAAGATATGTAAATCACACTAACGATATTCATACACACAACATCGAAAGTGTGTGGAACAATTGCAAATAATCTATTAAAATACACAAAAGAACTGTTAAATTTAAACTTGAAGTAATTTTATCCAAATTATAATGGAAGAATAATTTGGAGTCAAAAAAGACATTAGATGAATTATTGAAATTATTGAGAATTGATTAAATTGCTTCTCTTTATTTATTTATAAAATATTTCACTTATTTTTAGACTTTATTCATTTATTTTATAAAAAAATGATAAAAAAACTGCCTTAAAAGCTTTTGTAAATA